TTTCAATTGTCATTGATAAAATTGAAACTTTACTTCACAGTCATACACAAAATATTGACGTCACTACAAATAAGAAATAAAAACCTAATAGTGACCTGTGATAATACAACCAACGAAGAAAAATACAAAGGACCAGAACATCATCAGAAAAATGAAGAATATAAATCATAAAAACAATAACAATCAGTAATTCATGTAATAAGTTTAAACTACATAACACCCGTTGATGGCTAAATTATAGCCGAAACTAGTCGTGTAAGTTCCAATGTAATCGAGTACTCGACAGGAACGTTAAATGATGTTTTAATCTTTTAACAATATTATATTTGTGATTGACGGCAAAAGTTTTTAATAAATATTTTAATCAGGTAATATCATTTAACCACCAGGAATATTTTGATCACAATATCTTCGTCGGGATGATCAAGTTTATCCGCTTTATCACGTCAAAAATTAGAAGTGGCAGCGATGGGCAGAATGACGTTGGAGCCTGCGGTCAACAGGAACAGCAACTGCACATCACGGACTTGCCGACAGAAGTGTTGGCTCTCATTTTCGAATATTGCTCTTACAATGTCTTGGCTGGACAAGTGAGGCTCGTGTGCAAACGATTCTGTGACGTCGCCACCTTAGTTCTCAATTGGGGGTTCTCGACTTTGGGTCCCAAGATTGATCGAGCTACGGTTGAAATCGTGCCTCGTATGGGACAAGTTCAAACAAAAGAAGAACGTCGGGCAACGAATCGAGTTTTCATTGCACTGATGATTATGAAGTGTCAGGTATGAGAGTGGGGAAGGACCGATCTCTGTAATAACTCACAGGAATGTGAAGGAAGCTGTGTCACGAACAAACCCTTAACAGTGATGACGAGGGTTTAACATTTCTGCTTCTAAAACAAGCGCGTAACTCCTGTTATTTAACACGGACTGAGACGGGACAGGTTTCGATACGTTCCTGAAAACACTGCTGTAGGCGAAGGACTGCTGATCACATCAACAACACGAAGCTAAGAGTGTATGTGGTTTATAACAGCAATAAGACCAACGTCGTGCATTTAATCGACCAGAGTAAATCGTCAGTGACTTAGAAACTGACCGACAATCAGGTTACAGTTCTGATAACTAACGGTGATGAACCCGAAGGTTCATCACCGAATTAACCAAAGCCCTCCACCGGACCCTGTCCTTGGCCAACAAAATTCAGTCTCCTTCAACTCCTATCTCCCATAGACCCCGCCTGACATTATCCTCCCATCTACGTCTAGGTCTCTCCAGCGGTCTCTTCCCCTCAGGCTTCCCAACCAATTCCTGGTGCACACCTCTTGCCACATCCATGAGCGCTACATGCCCAGCCCATCTCATTCTTCTCGACTTAATCACCCTGACAATATTGGGGGAGGAGTACAGATTTTGAAGCTCATCATTATGCAGTCTTCTCCATGCCCCATCGTCTTCCCTCTTACTGTTACTATTTACGCGTATAGCCCGTCTTTACGGAACAGTGAAACAACAATAACAAATCAAAATTATATTCAAGACGAAATTAGGGGAAGGCTAAATTCCGGAAATGCCTGCTACTTCTCAGTTCAAAATATTTTGTCTTCCCGTCTGATTTCTAAGAACCTGAAAATTAAAGTGTACAAAACAATAATTTTGCCTGTTGTTTTGTATGGGTGCGAAACATGGTCTCTCACTCAGAGGGAGGAACACAGATTGCAGGTGTTTGAGAATCGGGTGTTGAGGAGGATATTTGTTGGGAAGCCTGAGGGGAAGAGACCGCTGGGGAGACCTAGACGTAGATGGGAGGATAATCTCAGGCGGGATCTATGGGAGATAGGAGTTGAAGAAGACTGGATTTTGTTAGTTACTTAGTTAGAAACAGCGAAACCAAATCACTGAAGACACTGAAGTGATATTTCTCATATGCATCCTCCGTGTTTCCAGATCATCTGCTTACAACACGTGCAACCAAGTTCTAACTAACTAGATGGCTTAAGGAACCCGTATTAACCAAAGCCCTCCACCGGTCCCCGTTCTGCTACATTTTCTTATAAACAACGTCGGCTACAAATAGCATGAACAGCAAAACCACCCAAAGCAACACTGGCTGTTTATTCGTTAATTATTTAACCGACGATGAACCAACTACAGAGTTTGTAAACAGCTGTTCATTACTTGAATAACGGTATCAGAATTTCATACACGTGAACTGAAGGAAACCAGAGACATCATTAGGTAAGACAACAGCCGATGTGGTCAGCTGCCTGTCTGACAGTTACCCTGTTTGTTTGCAGTACCGTCTGCTGAGAGCCGTCACCTGGAGACACATTTGCAACCCTTACTCCGGCTCTGGGCATCTGGAGTGCTTCTACGGCGGCAGTTTGCTAGACGAGTTCCTTAGGTTCCTACAACTGGCCCACGAATGTCCGAAAGACTTGGGGGACAACTTGTTATACCCAGATTACAAAAACGAAGTCGACATACTGAATGTTCGGTGCTTGATATTCACGAACCACTTCGAGAAAACTACTGAGAAGTTGAACAACAATTATTCCATCTCTGGGGCAAAGCTTATTGACCTTTTTGACTGTTTAGTGCAGAAAGATGGCAGGACGATCCCATATGAACAGGCGGTGACAGCCAATGGAACGGAATGCCACATCAAGGCTCGTTATAGGTTAGGAAGGGTACATTAACTGGGGTCCCTACGATAAGGAAATCCGTTTATCAATGAAGAACATGCCACCTCACTGTCGGTCTCCATATACGCATGGGGGAAGCAAGGGGTGCATATAGAATTTTGGTGGGGAATCCTGGAAAAAGACCACTGGGCAGACCAGGAAGGAGATGGGAGTGTCGGAAGGAAAGTAACAGAGCACATGGCGCCTTCCTCCCCCTTGACCTCTTTGTGTGACGTAGCCGAAGGTCGCTGGAATTTTGCACCCAGTTCAATTCCCTGTACTGAACACTGTATAATTGTTTAATCTGTGTTTATGTTCCTTACAGGATGCCTTACACGTGGTTCTGTTCTCTACCTTCATCTCATGCTCAACCTAACAAGTGGAACGAAAAACAGAGACCGATATACCTTCGCATGTGCCAACTAATCAATGGTAGAAACCATTTCTTCCTGGAGAAGATTCACCATGAAAAAGAACTTCTAATTCGGAAAGGACGCAATATTCTCATATTAAAATACATTCTACCTTCTTTATACTATGGGTTTCGCCAGAATTTTGGCTGCTTATTTTTTTATGGAACCATGAAACTGCTTGCCTTAGACTTGAATTTCCACGAAGAACTTACTCCAGCCGGTCAGCTTTTCGATTATTTTAATCTGGATTTTTTGACTTCACATAACGAAGCTGATACGTCTGACGGCGTGGTTAATGTTCCAGAGCCCTCTAAGATGGATCTGAATATTGACATAGAACTTCACTCGCCGTTAAAACTGGCACCAATAAAATGTTGGGAATCCTCTCAAGTACGAATTGCGACTTCCGCCGATGTTGCGGTCGTATGGGGATATGACCATATCTTCTTCTGCTGAATCATGAACTAAATTCCTTTTGAATATGACTACGAATTGTTCTGTGTCTCTTGCAAACGGCCTACCTTCTACGTTTCAGCATATTACAAACTCTAGCAAACATGATTAATACAGTTTTTTTACTTAAGAGTATCTCATTACTGATTTCTTTGTTTAGCGCACTATAATACAAATTCCGAAATGTAAATACACTTTAAGCAAAGAGCAAATAAACACAAAACATGTTTACAAAGATTTACATTGCATTTCCATGTGTCAGTTTGAATGTATTCCACCGACAGGCTTAAATTCCCATTGTACGTACATGCAGTGGCGAAGCGTGACCTTTTGAACTGTCAGCCATATCCCGAAGTGGGGGGGGGGGGATCCTACATTACGTACATTCACAACACGACAGACGCTCACAATGGTCCAGACTATCTCTCCGCAATTAAACAAATCCTTGAAAAACTGCTTACACTTGAAGTGTAAACAGTTTCGGTTGTATGCATGATTTTATACAACTTGAAAACTAGCCGTCCCATCGGTGATATGCCAGCGACCAACAGCCTGTGATATGAAGAGAATCTGCCCTTTATGAATTATATTTCCGTTTGTAAATGCCTTATAATCGGCATGCAGAATTCGCAATCGGTGCAATACTTTCGTTCTGAACGGTACATATATTTCCTTCTTTTTGCAACCGCCCACAACCCTTTTCGTTAAAATGTCTAGAGGGGCAGAAAGCTCGTCTGAAACGTTATGTAAACTTCCACAAGACTACACAGCGTAACAACCCATCTTCATACGAGAAGTGAGGATAAATATCCATAAATACCGGTTCTAAAATATGCGCACGCTTGAGGAGAACCAAGTTTACCTGAGTCTCCACCAATCCAGAACTGCCTTCCATTTTCTGGCAAGTTTGTGCCACCAGTTGGGGCAAGGCCTAAGCCTGTAGTAGTAAGACAGGTTCATCCACAGGGTTCATCATTGACTTTACTGGCAACACGCGAAAGGAGAAGAATAGTTGAGTGTTCTTCCGCTGTGCGTCATAGTTATTATTACTTCAATACCAATGCAGGTAAGTCAGACCTTTTCGAAATGACTTCTACAGATTTTGATTGTATTGCCATTGCAGACATTAGATGAACTCTGCACACGAGTCGAAACAAATCAGTATAAACCATCGATTTATTCGACGATATCGTTAACACCGTTTATACAAGAAATTCCGCTTAAATAATTATATCAGACATGCAGAAATCATTCTTTATGAAGCATCGGGACTTTCAATTCTCAATTAGTCGGCGTCACCAAACTCCATGCTTTAAGATAGCACCAAATGAGTACATCTTTGCAAAACGAACAGTGAAACCCAGGCGAACGAACACAGCCCTCAGATCGTGGCGTAGAAGAACAAGAAACGCTGTAATGGAGACTTGGAACCGCGTGTTAAGGAGGGGGGTGTTCTTCCGTGACTTTGAGGAATTAATTTTTGTCACGGCTACGACAACAGAAATTTCCTATAGCCTTGAATGCAGAGCTTCTGGCTTAGCTAAACTTCTAATTCCCTATCGACTGTAGTGTCCTCCTACGTACAAAATTTGGCAGGAGCTACTTGGTGTGTATAAACGTTTCTGTTGTCTGCAGCCCATAACAGTATTCATACTCTAGAATAGACTTCTAAAAGTACAGAACTGAGAATGTATTAAGAAAAACACATAGTGCTGACCCATTAGACAAGGTCTTTAGATTACAATAAATTAACTGTTCACTGATGCCAGCAATTTTCTCCTCTAGGAGAACTCACAGTGACTGTTGCAGCCTGCACGTGACCTGCAATGATTGCCATAGTGTGTGGGCATATATTGGAGCTTCTAATGATAATAGGATTGGAGATCCTCGGACATTCTTGTGGTCAGAAAATTCCCATAAGCCCCTGCCCTGATGTATTCCAGTACAAGGTGGATGCTGGTGGGATGTGGTATGGTCTTATTAGTGTCCCTCCTCCTGAACCAGATTTTAATATCAAGCTCACTGTTAAAATGTATCTTAATGCAGTTCCACCCACGGTAAGCGACTCCTACAAACTGTTTTTTTACCAATTTCTGTGTTACTTGTACCAAATACTGTAGCAGAGAAGAACAGTGTGACTTAGGATATAAATTATAAGGATGGTTTAAACATGTAAACAACAGATAATTTTCATATTAGAAGTCACATGTGGTTATATTACACATTTTATAAACCATCTATCCTCATAGAAAAGTCCCATAATGATATATAAACAAAACCATTCCCCAAATCTCATATGACTTAAAGACATTTTCGAGAAATTAGGATCTTATTTCAAAGTTGCAATATGTTAATGAGCAAACAAGAGTTCAGAAGGGAGGCAAATATTTTTTTGCTTTCATCTGTTATAGAATTATGTTGGAACACTGCATCTTGTAGAAACAAAGGACGAGGTCTGGAGAAGACTAATAACTGGGGACAAGCGGCCCGTTCTATACGAACTATATTTCCCACTCTCTTCACCTTTACCACTAGTGAAGCACATTGCTTTAAACAAGGATGTCATGTGTGTAGGCAAACCACCAAGTATGTATACAGCACTGTTTGGTTTAGTGCATTGCTTTGGAAATTAGATAATTTTTTTTAGAATAACCAAGAACAGAAGGAATTTACATCAAATTTACTTTCTATTACATAACATTTTCTGAAAATCCAAAGGTCTTTAAAGTGACCATATCTGCTCCTCTGTTTATCTGAGACTTTTATACCATCTTTGTTAAGCAAGTTTCATTAATCTTAGTGAATGAAATCATCACCACTAATAGAATTTTTTGAAACCTATTTCATGTAGATGTTGGCCTATCAAAATTAGAAAATGTAAGCAGAGTAATAGCTACGAATGAAGTGTTTTAAAATGTATGGCTGACTGTAGATACTAGTTCATTGATAATGTTTTAATGTTCATTGTCAGCTACTAAAATGGTGTTGTAATAAAATTCATGTCTTTATTAGGAATGTTTGTGATTGCTTTAAAATGAAAGCCTTCAACATCAGTAAAACAAAGAATGGGATAAATCAAAATATTCACTTAATTTAACAGTATTGAATGAATTAAGAGAAAACAACACAAGACAATATTAAAATGGATCTTATGGAAATATTGTCATTAAAATGTACACATGTGAAGTAAACAAGACAATGTTTTATCTTCATTTCAGGAGGCATGCTGACAAAAATATCTTTGGAGCACAATCTTTTCCCTATCAGGCTTAACTTTCCTCATAATGAAAACAAAAGTACTACAGCACCTCCTGACAGTATTCCAAATATTAATCGCACAGAGCCTACAACAGGTATGTTAAGCAGACTTTTCAGTATTTTCGTGTAGCGATTACAAAACTTGTTCTTTCACTTGCTTGAGAAAGAACAGAGATAGTAAACTGAATTTAACTCTCATAGATACACTGGATATTAAGTACCTAACCTTATTTAATAATTTTTCATTTATTTTATCTAGAACTTCTAATTCAGTAAGTTTAAAGATTTTCTATTATTTTAAATTCCAGGCATAAATTAATTTACTGATTTTCTTTCTCCTCCCAATAGATCATGAATGTGGAATCTCACTTAAAGCTAGTATCCCGCTGGTTGTCAATGGGACACCAACAAGAAAGGGTGAATGGCCTTGGCTTGTTGCAATGTTCGTCAAGTCTACATCACCTGGACTGAAATTCCAGTGTGGTGGCAGTCTTCTTAGTACAAAAGTTGTTCTCACAGGTGGGTTAAAATATTATATTTATGGCACATATAATTCTTATAAAACAGACCCCACTTGTTCAAAACTCAAGAACAGGTTAAATATCTTAAATGCATAGACCAGTATAGACTAAATTAATTTGGTTTTTAAGAAAATGACAATATACTAAAAGAAGAAGATCAAATGAACTCCAGCATTTCTGCAGACATAACTATTATATAAAGTGAAAATTTGTGTAATATCCTGTGCCAGTTCAGCTGCGTCATTGCACACATTTATTTACAGCTGGACACTGCATTAAACCCAAAGATCGACCGGAAGTGAAAGCTGAATTCATTGTTCTCTTTGTTGGTAAACACAACCTGCAGGAATGGGCAGAAACAAACAGTCAAGCGAAGGAAGTAAGTAACTGTTGTCATTGGAGATGGCACAGAACCACTGCTATTAATTGTATTTTCAAAATTTATAGTCCACATATCACTGTGTCTCATGATAAAATACTTGAAAATCATTTGCCCAACAGTTACAAGTCTGGCTGGTAGATCTGTAGTGAGAGAAATTACTTCTCTTACATCTGAACTGTTTTTTGTGTTACATTTTAACATCACACAATTTTTTTATCTAAATAGAAGTTCACAACATCCTACAGTGGAATTACAGTAAGACACCTCATTAGTTTGTGCAGAATTGTGTAGTTAACATGTTCCAACCTGATGAATTAAAAAATTTTGTTACTTTCAAGATAAAACATGTTACAAATTTAATTTCATCTACAACTTTCAGAAAAATCATTACTGTTTATTTTTAAAAAAAAGTGGAAACCACTAATATATTCTGTGGGGAAAATACTGATATACTGAAAATCAGGTAGTACATAGTTACAATTGCAATTTTAAAGAGTAAAAGTTTAAGATCTTGCAAAATTTACATCACATATAATATATTTTATTAGCTGTGTGTCACAGCTTATGTACAGTCCAATTGGCCATGCATCACAGTAGCACACTATTGACATTAACAACCTTTCTCCTAAGTTAATGTATCACCATCAGTTCCATAGTGAGAATTTAAATCCCTCTACGATAAGATTAATCATATTCATCGCCCTGATGATGGAGGCAGTATGACCTCTGAAACGTTGGTTAACATCGACCAGACTACACAGCGCAACAACCCAGAAGACAGAAATCTTCAAGATTAATCTCTTTTCATTCACTATTTAATTTTCATAGACACCACTCATCTACCTTACTCTTCTAGATTATAAGTTGCACATAATTTATAACTGTGACGGATTTTGGTTATTAAAACTGTTCGTGTCTCTCTGACAGGAACTCGTAATTTTTCAAACACTAATTTCAATTTTGAATCTCAAACTTTCAGGTGGAACGTATAGATATACATCCAGACTACAGAAGAGAAGATTTAGAAGCAGATCTGGCAATATTAATACTGAAAGAACCAGTTGTTTACACACTTTATGTGCAACCAATATGCCTCTGGCACTTTTCAGTTGATCTAAATGAAATAGTTGGACAGATAGGCACTGTGAGTTTATTTTAATTTGTCATTTTTCCTTATCAAAGCCATTCATAATTATGTGAATTTAAGTATTAATTCTAGTTAATTACACATCTATCCTCATTCACTAACACTAATTTGAAATCCAAGATCGCATAACAATAATTATATGTTTTGATATTGCTCCAATGTTAACTCTTTGGAGCTGAAGTCCATCTAAATACTACCTCAAAGAAACTATAACACTTCTCCATCACAATAATCTCTCAGTTAATGCTGTTTAAGGAAGTAACTACTGTTTACTTTTAAAAATCATATTAAAATAATGGCTGTTAAAGTAAGTGGTAAATATTGTAACATAATTACAAGGTTGATATATCATTCTTTGCTCAAATATCAATAGAAAAGGACCAGATTAAACATGCTGAACTAGTATTAATGTGGACTTCCAAACATGACATTTACTGAAATTCATCTGAGAATTTCAGAGATAAAACACAAATGGAAGAAATGGAATCTATTATGCAATTCTGTATTGTAGCATACTTGCATGTGAAGTCGTGATGATTGAGCAGAATGAATCACTGTTATGCATTAATTTTGTGCACCTGATGCAACAAATACAAGTAAAGAGCATATATAGGCATGACATGGATTAGCAGAGAGACTCAACACAATCAAGGATGAATTCTCTAGATGAAGTTTGTGTGCCTGTACTTATACAAAAAAGTCAGTAAGAATAGCAGGCAACTAAACCCTTCAGGTGACATAAAAGATTATTTCATTTATGCATACCATTTGTCTGCTATCTAGGTAGGCCTATATGAAATGCAGTGTAATCTGAACAGATGCAAGCTTCATTGCAATGCAACAGCAGCAGCCTGACAATTTTAATTCTGTATATCTAATAGATATAATTATTATCTTTTTTAAATTGGTAATATCTTCTCAAATATTATGTAACACATAACATAAACCCTATAGAGCCCCAAATTTTTGTATTTCTCCACCTTACATATCAAATGTTCACTGTCTACCCATGTTCACAAATGGAATGTACAGTTGAATACATCAACAGAAACCTCATCTGTAGGGACAAATTAAGATGTCACAAGGCTGTAAGTTATGGTGAAAATGAGGCTTTTATAAAAATGATGTAGAGAGAATTATTAATAAACATTAAACAATGTTATAGTCTTTGTATACAAAGGGAAACATTTAAAAAGTTTCATGAGTTCTAGAATTTCTGATTTTAGGAAGAATGAGTGCGTTCCTCATGTGAGTCAACACAAGAATATGTTTCCTCTCTGTGACATAAAATCAGTAAAATGTTTACATGGCTTTGATTATTAATGGTTTTCCTCCTATCCATAATTCTAAGTCTCCCTGACTGATACAAAACCACATTTTATCCTTATAAACACTAACATGGCTAACTATTCTGTCTGAAGGTTGTAGGCTGGGGTATTGATAAAACAGGAATCATAAGTTCAAAGCCCAACAAGGTCGCGATGCCTATAGTTTCACAACAGACGTGCTTCTTCAGCAAGAAAGAATTTACATCTTTCGTCAAAAACAGAACATTCTGTGCCGGTTCCCGAGATGGTAAGTGTGCGTATTGTACATAAGTATAAAATTTGTGTTATGAACATCTTTCAGGTCCTTATCAAACTTGGTGTGTAATTTTAAAAATTATTTTCCACTCCAATACCTGGACAGTCTGCCATTACTAAAATTTAAATTGCACATTATAAGGTGACTTGATCAAATAAGTGGCCTCAAAAGAAGTTCTTTGTTGAATTATTATAACATTCAGACAAAGTTCAATAATTTTAAGCTTCAGATAAAATAAATAGCATATGGTTGGGTTTGTATGTTCAACAGCTGAAGATTCAGGCTGACCCAAACTATTTCAAAATTAAGGAAAACATATTTGATCTGATGTGGCATCATAACTTCAAATAGAACTGAAAATAATTTTTAATTAAATTTGGCTCAACATTCAAAGTCCATTAATTTCAAAATTCAGCTAAATTAACTTAGAGTTGCATGCTCAAATGTACCTAAGAAGATTTCTTAGTTGAACTTGGTTTAACATTCAGGCTGAATTCAACAGTTTTAAAATTCATGCATCATACACTTGACTTAGAGGAATATTATGTTAAAAAAGAAACAAACTACAAGCAGTTATGATCAGTGACTTTCAGAAGCAGTTATGACATTTCACATCTTAATCAATGGAGATTAATATAAACAAATAGAACCAATCCCTGCAATTTGAAAAGTTTCATATCAGTTATATTATAAAATATATATTCCAGGTACTGGACCATGCCGTGGTGACAGCGGTGGAGGATTCGTGATAGGTTATCCAGATGGTGTACGTCTCAGATGGTATTTAAGAGGTGTTGTTCACATCGCACTGTATAATGAAGAAAACCAACAGTGTGATTTACAAAATTATCTAGTCTTCACAGATGTGGCAAAGTTCATGGACTGGATACGCCGTTATGTATAATAACGGCGTTCCCAAAGAAATTTAAATCCAAATGTGGCAGCAACAACCTCAGGCTCATACTTAAAATATGCTAGCTGTAAACTGTAAAGTGTTTTATTTTTGTCAATTTAAGTGGTAATCAGAGGGATGTGATTAATTTGAAATCAATATGACACATGTACAGAGTTCCAGTGTATTGTTACTCATTTTAAAGAAAAACTTGGTGTACTAAGAAACCAGAGAGCCTGCATGAAGAAGAAATGTCTTAAGAAGAAGAAAGCGCTGTTCATTGAAGAACATTTTGGGAGTTATTTCAGTTGGTCGTTATGAAGACGGAAAAGTACTTTTACCATTATAATATTAACTTATGTAAGAAAATTATCAATACAACTGAAAACAACATAACAACATAAAGCTGATTCTTTTATATCCTAATGTAGTTTGAAAATCCCTAAACCAATAAACCAATTCAAAGCAGATATGGAATTCCATACTGATTGACAAAAAAAACTTTGAAAGTCATGGTTCTGCAAATATGTTTACAGTATTTGCAGTAAACGGGTAAAAGCAAAAGTAGCAGGGCATCAGAATAGTAAGATCTAGATTTATGATAACTACACATAAATTTGAACCCATACCAAAAATAAGCAGATATTCCACACGTCCAGAGCTATAAGAAAACTCTTATTTGGCAAAATATGGAAAAATTTAAAGAAGGAGAAGTTGCAAATTATGTTTCTAGTTTCAAGTGTTGGAATTATTTTACCTAGGAAAACCCATTATGGTGCTACACCACAAACCAGATATACACAATATATGTACAAGGTACAGATATAACCTTCATGTGCCAAACACCTCAGTAAATACCAAAAAGGAGTTTACTATATTGGAATTAAGCTATTGAATAATCTCCCCCCCCCCCCACTATAAAAAGTCTGAATCATAATATAAAGACATTTAAGCCAACACTAAAAGAGTATCTCCTATCACACTCCTATTCCATATAAGAATTTACCTCAACCAAAATTCTTAGTCATCATAAATGCCTGTAAGCAAAAGTGGTTATGCTTTCTTCTGCTTCATGTAATTATTTTTGCAGTAATACTGTAGTTGACCATAAACTACTGTGTTATATACGCAATTTATATTTGTATTAGAAACAAATTTTGTATTTGAGCTGTGACTTTCTACATCTTTGGTTTGTGCCTATGAAGGATCTGTGGAATGTAAATAAATTGTTATATTCTATTCGTAGTTGGTCCAATCTCTTACAATTCTGAATTTGAATTAAACCTATCCTTTAAATCCCATTACTTTAAATTTTAATGGAGATATTTTCATTCCAGACTATTTTGTAGTTGTATAAAATATGTCATCTTCTAAGTCTAATATAAATACCTGCTCACCTACATCATTTCACCCATATGAATGTTAAATACTTGCAGTATGAAAATGGATCTCAGGAAAATAGGATTTGAGGGTGTGTACTAGATTTATCTCACTCAGGATAGGGACCAGTGGTGGGATCTTGTGAACATCATTGTAAACCTATAGGTTTCAATAAAAGGTGGGAAACTTTTGTCAGCTGAGTAATGTTTTGTTTCTCAAGAGAAACTCTGCTCACTGGATTTAATTAGGTAGAGTCCCTGCTTAATTATACTGCTTTTACATGATTCCTTCATTGCACCTTATATCCAAGCAAGGGTTAGGAAATTGTCTACTATTATTACTGGCCCTAATTGTACCATAATAAATGTCAGTCAGAAAGGCACTTTTAACTCTCCAACTCTTATTCTAGATAGCAACAGCATTTCAACTATACTTCCAAATCAATGTCAGCACAATAGACTATAAAACACTATCCTAACGTCGTTCTATCAAGATCAAAGTAAAATCAGTAGTTAAACGCACAAACAAAAACAAGTCCATCAAACAACTGTGTTTACACTGCACTTGGTAGTACTGAGTTCAATGATGGTGATAAATTTCCCAACCCTTATTTTATAATAAACTATTTTTTATTTATGTATGTACAAATGTTACACAACAGTGTAAAATATGATGGAAATGTAATGTTCATGCCTACTCAGTTTATTCTATCCTTGAGGATTTATAACATGAGACTAAAAAATAAATATCTTACTACAGGAAGTTTGTTGCAGTTTTATTTGTAAGATGACTGTAAAGTTCTACGCCAAGTGTCGCTACCATACACAAAAAAAATTTCAACCATGAAATTCAGCCATTCAATATAAAAATATACAAGAAAACACATCTGAAAATTCTTTAATTTACACTGCATATCACAAAGTCCCATTTACAAAATTCTATATCTTCTGCATTGTATGCAGCCGTAAATGCGAGCTGTACCAGGCTCCACTATACAGTTTTATGTTAACAATAATCCAAGCTGATACCACGAACTATTATCAAGAAAGTTTAAATGGGTACTAAAATTGAAGGAAAATGTTCCTAAGATTAGATAATTGTATTTTATTGACGGATTACATATGGCGTTCTCACTGTTCATGTTTATGTAATGAATGGATATGAATATCACTGTATTTTCACCAATTTTGTTATACTTAAGACATTATCAGCACAGTAGACTACCATACTAAAACATTCCCACTTGGTGCTTGAAACATGGAAGGTTCAGATTAACATTTTTGAAGACTCAGTACCCTAACAAAGACATTTAATGAGTTTCCTCAGTTCCTCCAACAAAATTCTGGGATGGAATCTTAAAATAAATTGCAGCTGCTTCCTTCTTAGTTCCAATACTCACAATCATAATCATACTGACATTCAACACTATATAACTTGTGTAGTTGATAAATGTACTTCAAATAACTACGAAATAAACTACTAAGATCAGTTAATTATGTAGTTTAAATAAAAATGTGCTGTGAAGAACATGAATGATGTGCAGATAATACTGGGTGTGATAATCAGAGAAATCATGATCAATGCCAAAAGTTAAATGAAACATATGCATAAGTTATTAACTTCTCACATGAATTGTCATTTCAATACTTTTCTTGAAAACTAATGACTCAATACTATTTCTGTATTCTCTCTTTAAAAAATGTCTATTTCATTTACACTTTGCACATTTATAACACTCCAACAGTATGGGAAAAGAATACCACGTGCCGGAGCAGTGAAATGGAATTGCTTGGACATAAACGTCTGTCACTTCTGCCTACTATAATACTTCATTCACTGTGTTACAACCAATAAAACTAAAGCCTTGTGTATTTTATATATGTCATTAAAAGAACACAAAATTCAATAGAATTACTGTAGTAGCTGATTACAGAGAGAAAAATAACTGCAGCATTCTAACAATAAGACAAAGGTAGCATTACTTTTTTAATGTTTCATGAGGATAACATTTAGAAACTGCTAATCTAAAGTTATTGCTTAAAAAAGAGGGAAGGGGAAAAAGGGGGGCTGAGTTTAATTATCAGTGTTACCAGTAATCAGTCTACGCCAGTAGACGACTGTTATACAGACCTGAATTTGTGACAACAGCTCCTAACCTATATGAAAAGTTGGTGTGTATGTAGTAGATCCATGGGCCCTGCACTGCTTAACAACTATCACAGACACTTCAGGCTTGTGGTGTTATCACTACTGCTGTGTGGTAGCAATGTGAGTAGAAAATGTCAAATATTTCCATTTTATTCAATCACCACTTTGATATGACACAAGTCCAAATGTAGAAACATGCTGTTTCATATTTTTGATACTTTCAGGGTGTTAAACAGATACAGGTAGCCCTCGATTACGCCGGGGATGTGTTCCTGGACAAACCGGCGTAATCGGAATCGGTGTAAATTAGAACGATTACAATCGGCAATGGCGTGATGAAGCAGTGTTAGTTCTCTGACGAAGTCCCTGGTTGAGGATTGTCATGTTTTTTAAAGAAGGCACGTAGTGTGGACTGTCGTGATTTCTTCTTTCTTTCTTTCAAAATTTCAAAGTTTAAAGCGCCAGGAATTAAATTGCATAAGAGCAAACTCGCATACGCAAAAGTTTGCATTTCACAAACAGCTTTTATCGATTCATCGATCTCATTGGAGAAAATTCGCGTTAACGAAACATGCGTAATTGCAGAGATGACTGTATTATAATTTTTATTCAAAATCAACGATGTAAGAATTACGATTTAGTATAAGAAGCAGTACCAGAAACATTGTAAAACGTTATAAATAATAATATAATATATTTCTTTCACTTTCTGACTTTCTGGTTTCAAAATCGGCGTTATTCTGAATCGACGCAAATCAAGGGCTACCTGTAATATGAAATTGGAAGCTCTGTATCGAAGCATGCCACTGTGTATGGTATATATAATCAAAATTTATTTTTCATTAAATTAATAGGAGAACAGTGATATATTTCAACACTAATATGCCATGATTAGGATGTTTATCCAGTACAATGCAAATATTATACAAATTAATTCACAAGGATGCTAAATTATTAAGTTACCTTCCTAGAACAGATTCAGTAAAGACAAACAATAAGTATTCTATTATATAACCTCTGAAACATCAGCCAGTGTCCACGAGACTATATGTTGTAACATCCCAGAAGACAGCCACCTTTTGTTGAATTTACTTTTCCAACTTTTCCCAAAAGTAAGTCTGCAACTGGCATGTTTTCTGTTATCTGAAAAAACAAAATTGTATTACTAGTTATAAATGTGAAGTATCCTTGTATCCAAATCTAAACCCGTGCAAGGTCCTAAATTTGACAGTTCTAAACTTGACTTATGCCAAAACATAAAACTGAAGGATTCACGCATTATTTCTGCAGGCATCAACAAAAACTGAAAATGAAGTCCCCAGTTCTGTGGACATAAATATTGAGACTGTGCTGCAATCAGCTTCAGTACTCAGGTACAATTTGGCACAGGCCCTTGGCACCATTCTGCAGCACCAAGATACAGAACGACAGCTCACCTGGTGGCAGCTGGTTACAATCCGATGGCTACACAACAGTTTAACTTCAGGGGAAACAAACACGATGCAACTGCTCCCAGAAGCACAAAAGATCTTCCAATCTCAGACAGCATTGACACCAGAACAAGAGGTGTCAATACTTTCACACCTTCTTTCACAGAGTTCATGCATTACATTTCACTGGAACAAAAACACAGATATACTTAAGTCTTACAGCACTGGATTAATGCTGAAAGGCTTGCCAGAAAATCTCAAACAAATTGAGCCTTCTGAATTAGTTCACATTGTCAACCTCAGCAAGAAAACCTTCCTTGAAAGTATATTCAAGAAAATTCAACACGGCTACATCACCCTGACATCATCACTTCTGGTAGGTCTTTTAAACAACATTCATTTACATTGCTTACTTCCAGAAACTCACGAACTGCTTCGTAATGTTACAGGGGAATTGTTCCATATGCAAAACAAGTTAAACAGCCTTCTTCCAAAAATCACAGTAAAACCTCAAGGAAATCTCAGAAATTTCTTGTTGGAAACCCTGAATTTCTTAGTATCTGAGCAGTCTCCACTGCAATTTTCAGTTAAACTCCAGATATATAAGATCATTCCTTTTTTCACACCAGGAGTTTGTAAGAATGTGAATCCCCAACTAGTTGAAATCAGCCACAAACATCATAAATTATTTCTTGCAATTAGAGATGATGAATTTCCATGTGATGTCATCAGTGCCAGAGATATTCTTATGTCTGCTATTAGCAGTGGTAAGTTAGATATAACAAAATATTCTGATAGGTTCATGCCAACATTTTATGGCAATGATCACCTTTCTATTCTTTTTGCTTTTCTTGCACAATTAAGTTTTTTATTGCCAAATGCACATCCAGCATCAGCTTACGTGCATACGCTTCTTAGTTATGTAAAAATGAAATACATCGTCTCAAATGGAGGTACCTTCGTACCGACTGTGCAACTAGATATTGCGATGCTTCTTAACTCTTTCAACACATTAGGCATTGATTTGTCAGAAACAAATGCAGAGATATATCATGCCTTTCAGAATGAAATACAATGGAAGAAAATCCTGTATAATTTCCCCTTTTATCGGTATAGCCAACCTCGTCCTTTACTTGTAGCCATGTTACATAAAATATTAGGTTCAAATGAAATCAAGCTGTGTCACAGAATAATTTTAAAATATTTCATAGTGAAGGTACAAAATCCTACACACCAATGTCAAAATCAGCAGATTTCTGAAGTTAATATATTTGTGAATCCAACCACACAAACTATATCACTCAAACCGCCCATTTTATCACAACCTGTAAATGTCCTCAATGGAACATTGTCTTTTGGTGAGGTAAAGCTCTCGGCAGAACCACAGATCATGAAAACAATTACAACTTCATTCTATGACAGTGATGGAACATTCACAAATGAAATAACAAACAAAGAGCACAAAGTGAAGATGGTCATTCCCTCACAAAATACTCTGAAACCAAAATTTTCTTTAATGCACCAATGCTCAACTAATGCCAATCTGGATACAGCCATCAAAGCTGAAATCAATGACATATTACTACATGCACAGAAAGTAAGAAATGGAATTTTAATTACTGATACATACTTAGTATGCACCAACATGAACAATGATAAAGTGTATATAATTGTTAATGATCAGACACACATGACTACAAGTTCTGATGTAACAACCATAACAAGCACGCCAATGCCAGCATCTGCTCAAGAACTTGAAAACTCACACAGCATTGACTCATGTATAAACTCCACAGATGCAACAGTTTGGGTTGATGTTCCATCTTTAATGAAAGCAGTGGATTCTGAAGTGACAGCAGCAGCACTGCAACTTGCCATAGAGAATCTCACCCCAGACATGATTCATGGCTTCGATGTTACACGTCATGATACTAAAGGCACGTTGCTTTATGAACTCTTATCCTTTATCATCATGAACAATAACATTAATCCAATTACTATGAATGTCATCACACATGTAAAGAATAATGTCCATATCGATGGCCCTGGGGCAGAACGTCCAATTTTAATTTGCGTTAATTACCCTTCAGAGGGAACAACATTACTGCCACTAGCGACTCCAGAAACTAGTCCATTACTAGTACAAAGAACTCCAATAACATGCATTGACAACATCAGCAAAGAAAATGGCATAAAAGTCATCATGATCTGGATTCAACCTCTCTTAACTGCAATTGCGCCAAATGCACCTCAGCACTCCAAAAATATTATTACAGAATTCTTAAGTAGCTCAGATGTTTCCAGTATGCTAAAGGGCCTGAATCTGGAAGAATTTCATACAAGAGGGCAAATGCTTGAAGGTATATTAACTTTTTTGGCATCTCAAGTTAATTTCCAGAGTCCTAAAATAAAAGAGGCCATTCATATAATCCTTCCATACATACAAGTGGAAGGGTTTGGTGCACTGCATCCAGAGATTGATGTAATGTGTAGCACAAGCAAATTTCTTACACATTCAACAAAACCCTTTACATATAATCATCAGATTTCAAATATGTCACAAAATACTACTGCTGTATCACAGAGCACAACAGAAGAAATTACAGAAACAGACTCCTCAACAACACATGTGACAAGCACAACACAATGGATAATGGAATCAGAGAGTGTATCAGAAATCCAGACAAATGCAGCAACAACAGAATCAACATCCAGTAATAATTCACTCGCATCGTCTCAATTATTCAACGTTTTTCCCATGGGAAAGGAAACCAAGAATGTAATGTGTACAGAGCAACAGATAAGGGTTTATGTACCAAATATAAAATCCCTGCTGAAAGCAGTAGATGATAATGTTTCCCATCAATCCATTGCACTCATATCAAACTACTTTGAAAGTAAAGACATTGGCCAAATACTGCAAGGATTTCATACTGAAAATTATAAAACACAAGGTGTGATGTTAACACAATTGCTGTCATTTATAAAAATCCACTTAGTACATGACCAGTCACAAATTCTTACTGCAATTGATGAAATATTACCTCATATAAAATTTAATCGGTTAAACATCCTAAAACCTGAAATAGAAGAAGTCTGCATGGATTTAGTTACTGATAAAACAATCACACCAGCAACTACTTCAACAATGACACATGAACACATGAGGACACAACCTACAACACCCAATAATATATTGCAGGTGGCACATACAGCAGCGGCAATGCCTGTACTGCAAAACAGTAACTTAAAGTATCATGATGAAGATAACAATATACTTCAATGCCCTGATCATCAGATTAAAAGAAGCATATATAATGTAACAGCTCTCTTAGATGTTGTTGATAAGAGTGTTTCAAAAGATCACATCTCAACTGTAAGAAATTTTCTACAAGGAAAAGATATTATAAAACTGCTACAAGCACTGAATTTAGAACAAATAGAAACAAAGGCAGACATACTCACTGAATTAATTATTTCTGTGAAACTTACATATCCCATTCTTGAACAAAACCTAAGTATAGCTCTTGATGACATTCTAAATAACATACACTTTGATGACACAGGACTTCTGAAACCCAGTTTATTGTGGGTGTGTCAAGATACTGATGAAATCATCCCATCATCCACATACACAATTTTGAAAAATACTACAAAACATTCTGAAAGATATGCGACAGAAAATAAAATTAAACAAACAATACACACAACTGACATATCAGAAATCACATCATCAGCAAAAGCCACTTCTACAGATATGACAACACAAACTACAGAACCATATACATTACCAACTATTGTACAGCTTGTGTATGAAGAAAATGTTTCCAACACTATCATACACTGTGCTGACCAACACATGGCTGTATTTATACCAAATATAAGAAATCTCCTCCAGGCTGTTTACAACAGAGTTTCTGTAAAATCATTAAACTTGGTGACCACTTTCTTTGAAAGAAAGGATATTGTGCATATTCTGAAGGGTTTCTATGCAGAGGACTTTAAAACCGGAGCAGAACTACTCACCAACATGCTAACATTTGTGAAGCACACATACCTCAATCTTGCACCCACTATTCTTGACGCTTTCAATGAGGTTCTGTTACATATTAAATTCAAAGAACTTGGAGCTTTAAAACCAGATTTTATACTGGTATGTCAGGACACAGTCGGCATCACATCTAAAAATACTGAAATTCACACACCATCACTCTTTACTATAGAAACAGAACATACAAAAAATGAAAGGGCAATCCTGCAAACAACAGAGGAGAAAGTTGATGCAATATTATTTCCAACATCAACATCAAAAGACTTTCCTAGTATCACAATACAAACACATTTTACACAAAATCCACCAAAAACAATGACAACACAATTAGACTCCACAGACATATACTCTCCCTCTACAATTCTAACTCAACTGAGAGATCCCATAATTACAGAAACCATAACCACAAAACAAACTACATCTTCCCTTACCACAGAGATAACTGAGTCAGTTGCCTTGGCACAAGTACTTTCAAATTTCAGTGTTCATGATGAAAGGGAAATACACACTTTAAATTGCAGTAGTCAAGAAATCACTGTCAAAATACCAAATATAAAATCACTTTTGAATGCAGTTATAAACAGTGTGTCAATACAAAACATTCAACTTGTAATTAAATTTTTCCAACAACAAGATATATTACACATTCTTAAAGAGTTCAATTTTCAAGAAAATGTGACAAAAGCAGATATGCTCATTAATGTCATAACATTCGTAAATCACACATGTGAAAATTTAAAATCTGATGTCCACAATGTCCTTAAAAACATTATGTCACACATCACTTTTGATGGCCAGTTTGTAACACAAAATGACTACATAGAAATGTGCCAGGATATAAAATCAATGACTATATACTTGCCAACATTGGAACCTATGTCTACTGAAGAAACAAAAACAGCATATTCAGCTTCCACTCACAGTACCATAGAATCTACCATTACACAGGCATCAGAAGCATCTCTGTCTTCGACTGATCCCGCAGACTCTGTCACAACAGTATCAACTACATACAGTTCAGAGATTCCAATTCCTATTCTTTGTGTAGATAAACATGGAGGAACTAAAATTCTCTCATACAATATAGTAACATTATTTGACGCCCTGGACTCCAGTACACCCATTACAGAAAAGAATATTCTGTTTAGTTACCTCACACAACCTGGCACTTACAACATACTGGCTGGATTAAATGAATCATATCCAAACAATCACGACATACAGGACATCACATTCAATGCTCTTACCTTCACCACTTATGGCTCACTTTTAAAGGGAATTCTCCTATTCTTAAGAAACAGAGCTGATGTCCATCATCATGTTCTCACTGCTATTGATGTTATCCTGCCTCACATACAATCGGATGGACTGAGTGCACTTCACTTCAATGCAACAGCTGCTTGTTACACTTCAAACTTGCATGCTGTTGCTGAGTCAACCCCAGACTTAGGAAAATTGGGACAAGTAGGAAGTGCTAACAACACACGAATGACACACACCAATAACATTTATATACTAGAAGACTCATATTACACACAATATACAACAAAAGAGACAAGCACTGAACAACTATTCACTGAAGCTAGCACTCCATCAACACATCTCATAACTGAAGTATTCCCTCTACCCACAGCCTCCACTATAAACATAATGGAAACTCTTACAAACGCTTCCATCCACTGTGCTGACCAACAGGTAGCTGTGGCCATACCCAATATTAAAACTCTCTTGAAGGCAGTGAAAGGAACAGTATCTCAACAATCACTACGCACAGTAATAAGTTTCTTTGAAAGGCATGATATATCATACATACTTAAGGGGTTCTATGCTGATGAATTCAAGACAAGAGGAGTCTTGCTCAACAAGATGTTAACATTTGTGAAATTCACATACCAACATCTTCATCCTTCTGTTATTGATGCCTTCAATGATATTATCTCACAAACTCATTATGATGGTTTTGGATCACTGAAACCAGACTTAATAATAGTATGTCAAGACAGTGAAGTTCCACAGCACATTATATCATTACCAGAAACAACAAAATTGGCACGTACTCCAAAAGAAGGAATTACAGAATCAACTGAGATCACAATTCATGAAACAAAGTTCACACAACCTGAAGCTCCTACTACTGTAAATAGAGCTCCTGCAAGAGAACCACAAGATGCTGATGTGACTACATCATGGCAAACACCTGAAACACATGCAGAAACAGAGACAACAGAGTCACTTACACGACCAGAACTACATAACATCCAATTTAGCAGAAAACAGAAAGATAATATAATATTCTGTACTGAACAGAAGGCAGTATCAATACCAAATATTACAACTCTATTACAAGCAGTTGATGCAGCGGTCTCACAGGAACACGTGAATATTGTGCTCAGTTTCTTCTCAAGAAAGGATATAGTACATGTAGTTAAGGGATTCAATGCAGAAGACTTCACAACTAGAGGGGAACTACTCACAAATCTTATCAGATTTGTTGAAAAGAAATATTCAAAACTTGAAGACAGTCATCTTTATGCATTCAACCAGATCATCTCCCACATCAGCTCTGATGGTGATGAAACTGTGAAACCTGATTTCATAAAGGTTTGTGAGGATGTCAACACATTAACAGAAAACAATTCTGTGGTGTTTGACAGTACAGAACATGAACTACTGAAAACTGCAGAGAACTCAGACACCACCAGTTTGTCCACAATTGTAGGTAATGGGTTTTCTGTACCTTCCAAACACATATCTGAAAGCAGTATTACTGCAAACAAACCTAATAATATGCATACAGAAGAAATAATCTCTCCTCTATTTTCTGATCTAACCACTCCAACATACACTGGAGCTATTAAAACTTCATTACCAATTAAACCAACATCAAAAACAACAGCAGAATCTACTGATTTTACTGAAACAACTCAAATGGCTGCCCAAACAAATAAATCAGCAGCAGAGACTACAGAAACAACAGAGTCTTACTTATTTGTTAGTACATTACCCAACACATCAGAGGACAAATTACACTTACAGAATGAAACATACCAATATTTGGTTGCAAACAACATAAACTTAACTGTACATTCTGATGCTTTTGAAGTACAAAATATTACTGGTGTTGAAGCTGATATGCCTGTTACACTTCCTAATGAAGAAACATCTGAGACAGAAGAGCCAACAGAGGCAGAAATCATAGTGCCTGAAGAATGCCTAGATGAAGAAAGCACACAGATGCTTGCTATTGATATGCCATCTCTAATGCAAGCTTTAGATTCAAGCACTTCTGAAAAATTGAAAGAGACTATTATTCAAACCATAGATACAGCTGAGATACAAAACGAACTGAAAATACTTGACTGGGATAAATACCATTCAAAGGGAGCATTTTTAAAAGATATCTTATTATATCTCATTTCAAACAGTAATAAAACATGGCATATCAAAGACACCATGGCTGAAGTATTACTCCATGTAAAAATTAATGGCAGTGGTGCCAGTTTACCAGTCTTCAAATTTATCTGTGTTTCGATTGATCAGTTTCCCACTGAAAGTCCAATCCCAACTGTGGAGCCAGTTATAAAAATACACACTCTGGAACAGTGTGCACAAAATATACTCTCCAATGCAACAACAATACTAAGTATCTCATCAATTCTGAAAGCTGTACAGCCTGCAGTCCCTCGCTTGGCTAAAGCTGTTGTTACTGCACTTTTCCACAGAGATGAGTTTTCCAGTCTGTTAATCGACTTCAACATAAAAGAATATAAAACCAATGGACAATTACTTAAAGCTTTATTATCTCATCTACGTACAAAAATGACACTTGAAGCCAATGTTCTGGAAAGTATTCAAACTATGCTTAATTTCATTAGCTTTGACGGCCTTGGTGCTTTGTCTCCAGACATGAAAGTTGTGTGTGATGATGTATCAGCTGCCTCATTCACAGAAAAAACAATTCCTGAATCAGATATCACTACAAGCAAAATATCTAAAATACCAGAAAACACCAAATTCCATACTGTAAATGACGAATTTTATAAAAAACCAGAAGAACCTGAAAATGAGAAGATTGAAATCACCAATAAATGTTTTGACAATGGGACAATGCAAATTCTTACTGTTGATGTGTCCCCGCTAGTGCACATTATTGACAGACCAATTACAACACTTCTTCAAATTAAAGATGTTCTTAGAGAACCTAGCACACAAGAGAAACTGAAAATATTTAATTGGGATGCTTACCATGACACAAAAGGAAAACTGCTCAAAGATATCATAAACTTCTTAATAAACACAGTATCCTACAAGCAACAAGAGTACTCGTTACTTGATACAGTTATTCCTTTTATTAATATGAATTATAAAGGTGCAAAAGCACCAGCCTTCATATTCTCATGCACCACAGAAGAACCGACAGAAAATGACACAATTAAAAATGAGATCAAGTTAGAAGAAATTACAGGAGGGCCTGCCATTGTTAAGCCTTCACGTGGACAATGCAACAATAAGGCAACACCCATACTTGTAGTAAATATTCACACTCTATTTACTACCTTGAAACCAACCACACCCCACTTGCCTAAAGCAATAGTCACTGCATACGTCACTAAACCCTGCTTTTACAAAAAAATCTCAAACTTCAGCCTGGCCAACTTCAAAACCCGTGGGGAGCAGCTTCAAGAGTTGTTGGTCTATCTAGTAACTGAAGTTTCTGGGGACACCACATTAATGAAAGCGATCGACAAACTTCTACAGAATGTGCGATTGGATGGACCTGGAAAACTTCCAACTTCTATAAAGGTTGTTTGCAATACCACACTCAATAAACTAACAGGAATCCCACTGCCAAAAGTAAAGGACATAATCATAACAGAGCCACCAACCATCGAGCAAACACGACCCACCTCAGTTTTAACGCTGTGTATACAATCATTGTCAGGTACTACCTACGAGATTGATTTCCTAACCACATTCTCGGCTTTAAAACCGAATGCACCACAGGTTTCTCTAACTAAGATTGTGTCATTTCTTACAAAACCAAACTCCTATACAGTGCTAAAAAATTTTAATGTAACAGTTCACAAAACACGTGGAGACCTCCTAGCTTCATTTCTCCTATTCCTTGAAAAGAAACTTGATTATCAACAAGATATGATAAAGGCAATTAGAGAAATATTGCCCTTTGTTATTTATGATGGTCCTGGCAGCTTGTCTCCAAATATGGTGCCTAATTGTACACTTCCTGATACAAAAAAAGTTATACTGGACAAACCACATCCAATTATAAAATCACATATTCTACCACAAGGTCCAAAACTGATTGATATGCAAGGAAATGAATGCATGTCCCTTAGTCCTGACTCTTCTTATATTCAAGGCACAACTACATACAAAGTAGATGTACCATCATTAACAAAACTTCTGAATGGCACAGCAGTTGAGGCTATGGCAAAGCTGTTTGTTTCTGAATATTTACAAAATTATCTTCATATTTTAAACCTAAAGGAGTACTCCTCACGGGCAGAACTACTGAAAGGAATGCTATCTACATTAGAAAACTACCCACACTTGGACAATAAGAAGTTACTGCTTGTTAAGAAAATGAAATCACATATTCAATCTGAAGGTGAAGGGGCACTTCCTCCACTTATTTCAGCATTATGCACAAAAGGTTTGGCAAAATCCAATCCACAATATATCATGTATGAAACAAATGAGACATGTTTCATGCCAAGACAATATTCCAAAAGGGGAATGCCATATGAATTACAAACTGAATCACTTCTGCAGACAATCAAACCAGAGGCACCAAAGAAAATGGCACACAGTGTCATTTCATTCCTCAAACAGGTCAATGTTCAAATGTACTTACAGGGTTTCAACATACTTGTGCACAAAACACAAGGAGAGATGATGAGAGATCTCCTCTTATTCTTGGCCATGAAGCCAGAAATAAAACTAGAATATAAAAAAGCCATGAGCGCTGTAATACCTTATATACATAAAGATGGTCCTGGAGCTCTTGCTTCTGTGATAATCACAACATGTCCCAAATCTCAGGACGAGGAAGTCACTAACAAAATACCAGTAATTAGTATGGAAGAAACTACAGAAAATATTTCTACACAAAATACAACCATATTGGATACTTGTGCTTCCAGTTCTAGTGCCATCATTACAACCAAGTTTGACGCTTCTATCTTTCAAGCTCTAGATAACAGCTCACCTAACACAACAGTGGCCATAATATCAAACTACCTCAACAGGGAAGATACCATGCCAATAAAATTACACAAATTTTACATTAAAAAGTATAAAACAAAAGGTGATCTGTTACAAGCATTACTAGCTTTTATCTGGACAGACGAAGATAGCCACGAAGATATTAAAGACGCTGCAAAAACTTTGTTACCGCATGTCATATTCCATGGACCAGCACAACAGTCTCCAAATCTGAAAACACACTGCTATATTCCTGAAGGTTCCCTTGAGCCCACTACAGGTTCTGACAGCTTACATCCTTCAACACTAGTATACCCTAGTGACAAAACGTGTGTAACCAACGTTACACATACTCCTGGAATAATCATTTATAGAATAGATATACCATCACTTTTCAAAGCTCTGAAACCTGACATTCAACGTGAATTCTACCTTTCAGTAGCAGTGTTTCTCAACAAACCATATGCATATAAGTACATACATGGAATAAATATGGAGAAGTATAACACACAAGGAGAACTTCTACGAGCTATATTAACTGTCCTGAGATTTACACAAAGACAACTGGAAAGGAATGTGAAAAAAACCCTTAATAATATGCTTTATTCCATTCATATGTATGGTGCACGTAAACTTCCGATTGAGAAACAAACTGAATGCAGTGCTCTTTTAATGGAAGACAAACTGCACACAATAGATCTCAAGGAACTATTAAAAACCATTGCACACCATAAACTTAGAACTGAAATCAGTGAAGCCCTGAATGTCATTACCGAATTTACAACTTCTTCCAGATTCAATTTAACAGAATATCTTCCATGGCTGGATTCTGAGCAACCTATTACCCAAGGTGAGCTATTAAAACTTATCTTACTACAAATTTTGGACAAAAATCCTAGTATAAGACAACATGCAATACTATTATTGCCATATATACAAGAAGAAGAAGGTGTTGGTAAGAAAGTAGTTAAAATTGGCACAGAACAGAAAGCAAAACCTTCATTTGCATATGAGACTGATTTCTTACAGCTTTTGCATGTTTTAAAACCAGAAGCTCCTAAGAAGTCAGTTGCAGCAATATCCAACCTGTTTGGTAAACAGGATATGTATAAAAATTTGGAAGGTTTTAATCTTGACACATATCAGACTCAAGGAGAACTTCTTGTAGGAATCCTTACACACCTTAAAGGTATATATGATGAAAACACTGAACTTGGAAGAAACATTTTACAGTTGATTCCTTTTGTTAACCATGAAAATACTGGTTCTCTACCTCCTATTATCAAGAAGATCTACATTACAACAAATGCATCTGTGAATGTTTTTATACTAGACCTTGGCACTTTATATAAAGTAATTCCAAGGAACAACTTAACCAAGGAAGGGAAACAGGCATTGGACACGATATTTAAGTATCTGTCCAGAAATGAAACTGATTACCTTGAGTTACTGCAAAGTATCAGTTCACAGCTTTCTCCTAAGATACAACTGAAGCTAATCTTAAATAAACTGAAGGAGGTTGCTGATAGTTCTTTAGAGAGTTATATAGATATTTTACTTGTTTATCTGGAAGAACAACTAGCACATGATTCCTATCAAGATGCTGAACATATACCAGAAATGGACTGGATTGCGGTTCTGCAAGCTATACCTCATGTAGGGGTACCTGTTGAAATAATAACCGGTAAGAAAGATCTGTACAGATTTCTTTTATCAGAGACCTTTAAGAATGCTGTTCATAACTTCCATATCAGCCTAAGTCTCAATAGAGCAAAGTTCCTGAAGGTACTGTTGGCGTACCTGCGTAGCAAGTCAGAAGTTACGAGAACAGAAGCAATAAAGAATGCAATTGCATATGTATACATGTTTATAAAAGACGAGGGAGCCGGACTCATGTCAGTACAAGATGACATCTTATTACCAGAACAGTGGGAGGAAGCTAGAAATGCACAAAATCACATAAAGGAACTTCTCTATCAAGTCCTTGATCTGACACAACAGGAAGGTGCATCTGAAATCTTACAGACACTACAGAGTCTGTTTGATTCAACAAAACTACATTTAGAAACTACATATATAGGTTATAATGTCATTGAAGAATTCCCACCAAAGGACAGATTGATCATTATACTGCGGAGAATATATCACAACTTTATAATGTTCTTGGATCAAGACACCATTTCTGCCATTGACATGGTTTTCATTAGCCTCGGTGAAACAAAAGAACACACACCCCAACTTCTCCATTTCCTACCAATTAATTTGGAGGAACTGCTGAAGACAGTTCTAGGGCCAGACATTCCAATATTAGTGTCTGAAGCTGCAGAAACAATAAGGTCATACGTGAATCTTAAAACTGTTCCACTGGGAAAAGCTTTCCAAGATACAGTGCCTAGCATCCTAAATCTCAATCCTTCCAACAGACTGGCTGTTGTGTTGAGAATTCTCTGGAGAACTTACTCAAGGCATCATGACAGTAAACTTCTTGATGCAATCAAAGCTGTGTATGAACACATACAGCCTCAGAAACGTGGAACTGAAATACAAAGTAAAGACCATCACATGGCAATTATAACCGCTCTCACTAGCTTAGTTCAAACAAACGCACCATCAAACGTTCAGGATGCTAAACAGGTAGTGATTGACCATCTTGCTGCTGAGCAAAATGTGTATGACAAAGCTCTTGCCAGTCTAGTTACTAAAAATCTCTCTTCAAAAGCATTAGTAGCCCGTGCACTTAGAAGGTTTCGAGAACATCAATATCAAATGAAACCTAAACTGTGGATATCCGTTTCAACAATTTTTGAGTACTTTAATGTCTCTGAACATGATTCTACAGAAGACGAGACTGACGACAGCTTCGATTTAGTGGATGAATTTAAATACCTCACCGATGAAGCTGGCAGTGAAGTGGCTCCTGCCAAGAGGATATTAATGAAATTCATGACTGACAGAAAAGAAGAAATGTTGAAGATATTCCATGGCCAGAGAGTTCTTTCGCAGTTTGCTCCAAAGGAAAAGATGGCAATTCTTCTAAGGAGATTATTACATATATATGGAGAAAATCTAGAACCTGAAATAGCAGATGCAGCTGCAAACATTCTGAACCATCTTAAGGCTTCCATTGCAACAGAGGAAGATGAAGGCAAGATTGATATATTCCAATTATTAGATGCAGTTATTGATCAGTCTTCTCCAGATCATGTTATTGCAGCCAAAAATTTGGTAAAGACCACACTGCTACAAAATCCATCCATGATCCCACACATATTTAATGGAATTGTTATCCAAGAAGATTTCAATCAACACAGGCAAATTACGATTATTCTACAACGCATATACAGGAAGTTCAAGCTGGAACTAAACAAAGAGATGATGCAATCATTAATAATACTATTTGATCATCTTGAAATCCCACGTGACACATCTGCCGAGGATCAGTTTGTAGGAAATGTTACCATTGAGCTCATATTCCAAAAAGTATTCCCTAAAGAAAAAATACCTGATGAAGTAGCAGAAGCACTGAGGACAGTTCTTGAATTGTTCAGTTCAGAAAAGATAGATGTTAAGCAAATATTGCACGGTGTACATCTGTGGAAGTTACCAACAGAAACACAGGTGTCACTTATCTTATACCGTCTCAAAAAGAATGCAGATTTGGACCATGCGGGTAAAGAAGCAGTGAACACACTTCTCAAAAGTTTAGATGCTGACATGAGTGAGCTTACAACAGAGGATGTTGATGAATCCTACACTGCTGAGAAGTTGTTCAATGAAGCCCTTGCAAATAAGCACTTACCAGCTGAGGTTCAGGAAGCAAAGGGAATAATTATTCACTTCCTGTTGTCAGGATCATACAAAGTGAAGGATGTCTATCGCGGAACAGATTTTTCAACCATTGCATCCGCTACAGAACGTCTAGTGATTATCCTCAAGAATATGTATTTGAAAAGAGAAATTCTTGGCACTAAGATGACTGAAGCGCTTCAAATAATGTCTGGTTTTCTTCATGTTAACCTTGGAGACCAGGAAATTGACCCACACACATTTGATTTTGGAGGGGTCTTTAACAGAGCAGTTCCAGCTATAGCTCCCCAGAGCGTGAAACGTGCAAAGAACTTGTTACTCAGAGCCATAAAGAAACGGCCAGTTACTTTTAAAAGGATACTTGGTCACATCAGTGTTGAAAAATATCAAAATGACAATGAGACTGTTTATAAAATTTTGAAAGCTATTGCAGAATATAAGCACCATTTATCTGTCAGATTAAGAATGGCTACTGAGATGATTCTTAAATTCCTAAGAGGTGTGCCCATTGACGGTAAGCACCAATCAGTGTTGAGAGAAAATGAAAGTTCTGGTGAAAATGAAACAGGAAGCGATACTGTTGGTTCAAGCATGTTTGGAGATGAAACACTACCAAAAATTAACAAAAAAGGGTGAAAGAATAAAAAGATGGAACTGAATTATGTATTGCCCTATAAAAATAATCTCATAACACATCTCAAATGCAATCAGTCCACTTCCAATTAACAATACCACCATTCAATGCTTAAAATTGAAATTAGTACTAAGCTTCATGTAACATTAGAGTTTCTTACAACACTAAATAAAATGCAAAAGATACTAGTATATATCAAACAGCCGAGCTTTCACACTGTAATAGGTTCGTCTAATATTAATTCAAGCACTGCTTACCTTTATTTTGTATACTTCAAGCAGTCCTACCAGACTCAAAAGACTGCATGAAATGTAGTTTTATGTGCTTAATACACCATGTTTCTATCTTAAATAGTCTTCTGCATTTGTTGTTGTTGATGTATCTAACTTGTTAAGTGTGTCAATACATTTCACAGAAAAAGCAGACTTGTGAATTACTGTATGTACCAACAGCATTCATAAATTCCAAACACCTAGTAACCACTATCCTATTTACATGTATTCAGAAAATTAAACAGGTCACTTGTTTGCATAGTGCTTTCAGTTTCCTCTAACACAGAAACTTTCTTTCCAAAGATTAAATGAACAAGAAATAATCTCTAGTATACACACCTTCAGAATGAATCCTTTGTAATTAAACATCTCTTAGCTGAAAAACACAAGTCTTGTAGCTACATACTCTAAGGTCCAAGTTTCACAATTGCAATTTTAAAATCATTTATCACGAGGCCAAATTTCTGGACCTGCAAAAATACCACATGGATATAAATTTAATGTAAATGTTTTTGTTGCACATTCTTAACTATATTAATCCACAGGCTGACAAACAACATTGTAATTACTATGGCCCTCAAGATACCAGCTAAATGTTTGCAGTGCAATGGCCACACTGACATCCACCCATTTTACATGCTCTTTTTAAAGCAGAACACTGTTCTCAGAGTGACAAGATGGTTCATCAGTTTTATTAATTTTCTGTATCACATCTAAAATTAAATATCTGAAAAATGTAGTCAGAACTCAGTTGACTTTTCATTCAGCTGCTACTTCTCTTTCCTACTAAGCAAAAGGTAAATATTTCCTATTCACAACATGAAATGGGAATATCATAAGGTTAAATAACCAATATAATAAATGCACTTAACTATGACATAATCCACTGACCAAACATACCTGATATTAATACAATATACAGATGAAAATTTATATTGATGCATTTTGCTGAATTTTGTGAAGACTTCCCAATTTTGTTTCAAACCAGACAAAAATAAGGGTGTTTTATGTCAAGACCTACAGGCTTCTCTGCATGTGTAAGTGACCCGGGAACTCTGTTGGGGAATCCCCAGCAAGACGTAAGACATATTGCTTATGAATGAATTCCTTCAATCCCATCTAGCAATCTGGAACAAATCATAGCACAATACACCACATACAAAAAATACCCATAAACATAATAAAGTTACAGAAATATACCCAATTAATAAAGCACAATACAACAGAACTAATCACATCCTTTTACTATTAATAGTTCCTTGCTAATCATGCAATATATTTGTTTGTTTATTTGTCATCAGTCTTTCAACTGGTTTGATGTGGTCCTCCATTTAAATACCTAAAATTATGCTATGCTCAAAGTATACTTGGTAGCAAATTAATGTACCAAACAAATTTCCATACACATATATTCTACAAGCTTATTTTAAAATGAGTATCAATTACATACCATTGTTAGTAAATATCCACATAATATGCACATATATATTAATTATCCCATGAGAAGGCCAATGAGATTCAGAACACATAAATAATTTTGACAGTTACAGGTATCACTCTAAGTACAGAGTGGGTGGGAAGTAAGTAGGCATTGAGATGGTTATAACCTCTATATTTCCAATGCAATAGCGATTATTTAATGCCTATTTACTTCCCACCCAGATCCTGGAACCTGGCTAATAGCATACTTCAGTTGTACAGAACCACTAAAATACAGTCATTAGAATTTGTAGAAAGAATAGTTAACTCATTAATAACTACAGGTACTTTCAGGTTAAGCAACATTGACTGTGGCCCAAATAGGATGAGTGACCACCTAACTCTACCTACTTCTCTCCTTTGAGCTACCAATGTGGATTTTCTGCAAACACTTTGTCACTCAACATATAAGTCCCTGTTGGTTAAGAACCTCCAAAATGTTAAAAATTCACTTCATACTGACATAGCTGATCACCCAAGAAGACTTCACTAAAAAGACAAATCAGTTTTTGTTGAAACAGAACTTTTATTAAACTGAATTTTATTACATAATTACATTCTTAAAAGATAAGAAAAAGGGGAACATTCCACATTAATCAATTAAAAATGTTGTTCTCTTGGAGCCTGTTTTATCATACATAAAATAAAAATTACATATGCTACATCAGTTTGATGCTTAATGTGTAGGGCATGTTTGCCATCACAGAAGATTTTGACTTCAGTCACTCTGCAGTGAAGTACAGTTAATTAAAGTCTTATAGATATTACACTAACAAGGTAATAAAACTCTATAAACATAAAATTATTAAAGGAAATAAAAGTACATGGCTTGGTAAACAAATTTAAAGAATAATACACCAGTTGCCAGAGTACAGGCATACAGAAAGGGGGCATGAAATGGATTGTCGTAAAACAGCTGACAATGGAAAAGAGAAAAAAAAAAGCAGTCAGGTAGAAAGCACAAAATGTCCATTTTTATCTGTTTATACCCTTATAAGTGCTCTCTCCTCTTTATTCAAAATATGAATAAGAAAAAATGCATCAATAGGTTAAATATCATATAGTTGATTTTTTTCATGCAATAGAAAATGTGCAATTGATCATTACCTTATATACTTAAAATATATGCCACAGGTGATAACTCAAGAAAGCCTGGTTTTTTTGTGCACAAAAACATCAGCCAAATCTCTGAGCAATGACATAGCTTGAACTGCCACTTCCAGAAGAAAAGTTTCTTAAAAACAGAGGCATTTTTTATATTTTATATAAACAGTGTTACAAAATAAGTACATTCCTTCCAGGTGAATACTGTGGATTACATTCAGAATCCAAAGTCCTTTGCACTTTTGCCAAGACTCTTTGTTATAGACATAAGTGGTCACAAAATTTGATCCATTTGACAAAATTGGCATGTATGCAGGATCAGGATGATGCCCGAGTCATATCCACATTTGCACCGTCCTCTTACAGTGCTGCATCATTAGGCAGGGATGTGTCTCATGAGATGCTGACATATTATATGATATAGTAGAGCTCACAAACAGTATGCTAGTACACTCTAATATGGAAATGTTGTTAATCAGACACAGCAAACTGAACATGGCAGATCAGGAACCTTTCACATTTGCAGACTACTATTCAAAGACCGTGTAAATGGAATGGGATTTCCCATTCAGTGACTTCTGCATGAATACCTAATGCAGAGTGTGATGCAGGCATCTCCCAAAGTCTTGGCCATGCTTGCCAGACTGAGAACAGGCAGTAACAAATGAGGGGCCAGGGTCTTGGCTGGCCCTCTGATACCCCTAACAGACCTCTGACCTTAAAAAGTCAAGGAATCTAGCGAGCCAAAGCTAGGAACTTGTATATACTTGAAACAAAATGGAGCATAAAACCAAAAACATTAACACCACTGGAATTAATTTCAGAAAGGTTTATATACCAAAGAGGTAAAATCAGGCAGCTACTCTAAATTAGCTCAATGAACAACTTTCTCAAAGAGAGAACTACTCACCGAGTTAGTTACATACAAACCTTGTAACACAGCACTGTATTAGTTTAATCCTATAAGCATCTACTTCTTCAGGACATTCTTTTGTTCTTCAGTCAGTGACACATCACACCTATATTCAAACGCTAACATAAAACTAATATTATAATTTCTTAAGCTACCATTACTACATTGTAATAACATTCACTTCAATAACATCATTTCAATTTTATTGATATGCAAAAAAAGTATCACAAATTTAATGTAGTTTTGTATTAAAGGTAGGAGGTTTATATATACTCTGTATTCCATTCACTAAGCTGTCTTTGCTCCATAATTAATTTCTTGTCTCATCACTGAACTCATTACAAACTCTGCATTGAACACACCTGGAAAAACCAATAAAAACAAAATCAATACAGCACTGGAGAAATGTCAAAATTGATAAATGAACCAGACATGTTTCAGAAAACCTCATATAAAGGAAACTGTAACTATACCTACCCAGTAGATTACTATTGGTTTGGTTTCTTAAACAATTTCAAGCATGCACAATCACTACATAACACAGAACCACGAGGAACATATGAGCACCAACATAAAATAAATGATCAAGATGACATTAATCTGTTTTATGAAATTTCTTGTGTAATGGGTGGATCTATTTGTAACATCATTTCTTTAGGTGAACCCTTTGTACTATGTGAAATTTATATAATAGTATGAATTGTACTTTATAATATGTATTGTATTATTATTATGACTTTTTCCATATCCTATTGTCATCTGACTGTCTTGTGGATCCATGGGATGTAATAAAATGTGTAAGTATGTTGCTCCTCAAAGACGTAAAGTGCAGCCGCCATTTTGAACATGTAATACTAATGCCACTAACGGGAAGTGAATGAACTAAGTACGAATAGAAGCGGGAAAAGCATACCTACAAACTGAAAAAAGCAAAGCTACGAAATAAAAATTGTTGTTTTAATCTGGGGCATTACTTTTGGCGTGACCCTCATAATTACAGGAATACCATTCACTGCGGCAAGATTTCAGATCATGACAATACCATACGTTCATGTAAAAATTTTGATTGTATCGAGCTACTTACCAATTTCATATTTTATCAGGTCCCTAAGAAGATGAAGGTCATTTCCAACTGTGATTACAAAATAATTGTATTCTTTCTGGTTTGCATCTTGAATTGCTTTCAGCGAACGTCTATGTTTTTCTACCTTACCACCAGCACATTCGATGATATCTGCTAAAACTGATGGGCTAGGCATTACACCTGGTGTCATGTAGAATATCTTACCCTGGTAAATAACAAGAACAGACATTTCAAAGAAGGCAAAGAAATTATAAAAGAATGTGTACTACACAAATAAAAATACCAAACCCTTTGGAATGAAATGCAAAAACACTTTTAAATGGTGAATATCTCCAAAGTTAATATACAAGTAGTGTCATGAGCAAAACTGTAGCAGTGGTCGACTACTTTCACCACTAACTTAAGGTTGATTACATAAGGGCTACTAATTCAAATTAAAAATTGCATTCTTCTCAGAATGTGACTAAACTTGTAACTCATCATAAAACTACCTGCATAGCATTGATATAAAGTGATCAACATAAACAACGATGATAGAGTTTTAGATGCTTCTGCACATCTACTGTCACATGCCCTCATGAGCCAACCAGCTTCATAGAGTTAGTGTATAAAGTATTCAGTTACTTCAAGCATAAACAGATGCCATTTGTGTGTGTGTGATGTCGATCACATTAGCTATACACAAATACACATACAATAAAACATGAGACATACCTTAAATAAATCATTCCTATTAGGCTTTTCCAGAACCTTAGCTATGTGGCAGCCAAACTCCTTTTCAAACTCAGGATCATTCAAGATGTATAGTTTTTCATCTGGAAGACAACAGTATAAAATGATACTAGCTTAAAAATACTATTTTCCATAAGTTCTTCTTTCCATTATGTATCTGCTGTTACTTAAGTAAAAGTTAATATTATTTTGTTCATCACAGTGAAAAATTCAGTAATAATTAACCCTCTTATAAACCCAAAAGTTTCATTACCACATTCACAAGAGTCTGCCAGGTATCTAAACTGAACCTGATGAATCAAATCCATTTTGTGTCCAAAATTAAACTCAGGTAGCTTTTAGACGAATACAAATACAGATTTTGATTCCTTTATATTCTTTTAATAATTCACTACATTCTATAGCCATCTAGGAGCGAAAATGACAAGTTAACAAGTGAATGTACAATAACATGTTGCATAACTTTGTTGGCAACAGCAACAAGTCTGATCACACAAACATCCTGCAAACATGTTCGCATCTATAACATCAACAATTTAAAAAACTTACCTAGAAACTTATTCTGGGCATGACTGTCTCTGACCCATGCTTCAGATACAAGGTACTTGCATGTGGAGAGACAGCACAGGAGCTTGACAGTTCGAACAGCCTGTTCCATTACCAAGTGTGTTGCTTCCTTGTGTGAATCCACTACTGCACCACCCAACTGCTTAACTTTCTAGGAAATAAAGTAGCATACTAAAAGTGTTATTCAGAAATAGATACTTGCAAGTAAAATCAATTAATTAATTAAATTCAACTCCTTATATTCTTAATCCATTTTCTGTTCCATTACTTTGTCACTGCTTTCCTACAAGAAGAAATTCCTTACATCTTATGGAACCCATTGATACATTACCACGTTCACAACAGTTTGCCACCAGTCCAAAGAATCAATCTCAATCTGAGGCCCTGTGTAGTACGTTAACATGCTGCTTTAATGGTGAGGAGATGTTAGCACCCACCTAACTCCAAAGCTGCATGAACACCCTTTGTCGGCTATCTGGAGCTGCTTATTTAATATATTCATAGCTACCCTTCGAATATGGAGGTTGTATCCTCTAGCCACACTTCCACCCAATTAAACTGCACATAAGGAACAACAGTTTTCACTTTTAGACACTGTAAATATTGGTAATACTAAGGATTATACTGTTCTTAGACAACTAACCTTGGCTAATTCTGATTGCTTTGTAACATGAGAAAATAAAACCATTGGCCTCTTGTCTTCTGAAGGTGGGTCAGGATTTGTTACTTCCACATTTTCAAGCATGTTCTCTTGGTCTGAGTCTCCAGCAGAAGTGGCAGATTTGTCAAGACGTGGTCGTTTTACACGTCGCTGAGCTGGTGGGATTGTTTTAATTTTATCGTAAGACTCTTGAGTTATGTTGATTGGCATCTTCCATGCCGCTAATTATCCCAAGAAAAAAATTAAAAATAAGAACAAGGCATCAGTATTTTGAATAATGACCTCCACAATAGGATTAAATTTCAATTTTTAGTATCTTTTTAATTATGTTACTTCACTATTTCTGAAACACTAATTTCTGTACCCTGAAAAATTACAAATAAAGTTATAAATGACAAGCATTCATAATATGATGGGTCAACTGTTCTGTGTGAAGGAGTAGAGGCCATTTAAACCAGCCCCATGAACAACAGCAGATGAATCTCCTCTGCAAAGAACTAACTCGGATACTAGTGGAACCACTGCATCACTGCCTTAATATTTTCTTCCAACCTGAATCAACAGACTGCTGATGCAGACGTACAGGACCCTGACATCACCCTCAACAAGAAGAAATACTGTGGAACCTTTCCAGATGTTCATACGTCACACTAGTTTGATCATAAGACATGATTATGTTGCACAACACCTGTCCCATGTCCTGGAACATGTTGGACTACTTCCCACACAGCCCACACATGTGTTCAGCCCAATAAAAAGGTGCTAAAAGGCATAAATAGGTCATGTGAAGTCATCAAGGCTGCAGCGATGAAGCAATTCCAGCAACAGTCCAGGGAGTTCCTTGGTGAGGGAATGTGTATCAATGGCATGCTCACATCAACACCCATGGGGATCACTTTTAACAGTCTCTACTAAACACAGAACAATGTCCAAATGGATTTCAATTAAACTACTCTCACAATCTTACTTTATTCTACATCACATCAGACAACTTACCCATAAGGTGTGGAATCAGGGCATACTCAATACGAAATGGGTTGCCCAAATTAAACTGCTGGAACTTTGGCATATCTGGTTGCTGAATGCAAGAGTAATGTCCAAACAAAATATCATTCAGCCACTGGGCATTCACAACTGGTCTGTTCCATTCACGTGCCTTCTTGTACTTCGCACCTTCAAGCCTAGAATGTAATTGTTAACCTTTAACTGTAGTGCACTCCTACTTCATATCTGAAGCCTGAGATTCAAATTTTGGCTAGAAAAGTGACTATCCTACCAAGACAGTACCTTAATTTAGGCCAAGACCACTTTCTTTCACATACTATCACACAGTGCTATATAATTTTAACAACTTAAAAGGTTCATTATACAAACCACAAGTAAATAAAAACATATATACACACTGATAATGGGAAAAAAACAATATTGTATGATCACACAGCCACAAAGAATTCTTTTATAATTATCTTAAACATTAAAAGTACCTTCACAGATGTGCTTCTGATGAAGGACTCTTTTATGTTAACTCTTCATTATATTTCTCTGCCAATATAGGGAATGACTGTAAAAGTCTGGAAAACTATATTCTCAAATGTTTCAATAAAATATTACATATACAACAATGCTGAACCTGAATGTATATTAACCAGCTTTGTCACACTGTTCCACAAAGCAAATACTAATCACAAGTTGTAAAAAATATGAGACAGGGTAGAATTAAGAATGTTTCATGTGTGGTGAACGATAAATTCCCAACGGCCATAAAACAAACAGAGTAAAGGTGTGGTAGTAACGTAACAGAAAGGCTTTGTTTCCACAACATGCACAAGTGAAACATCTGAACATCTAAAGAGAGGTAAAAATTAAATTTACTTAACAAATCACAGTTTAGTTCCCACAATACTAAATTCCATACACAATGCATTCATTTTATAACCTCTATGCACAAAGCCACAAAAGCCACTCACCTGCGGCACACCAGTACATGATTGTGTTTTGTGAAGTAATTGGTACACTTTGCTCCAATTGCTTCAATCATGAATCGTACTCGGGCCCTTTCTTCTCCTTCGAAGCCAGAGAATGCAATGATGTGATTCTTACATGGCTTATCATCACTGCACAAAAAATATAAATAGGACAACACTATTTCACATGAGACAAAAAATTTATGTCAATGTTGGTCTTCTAGCTTGTAATGTTATGTAGACTTATTGACAGATACCAACTTTTCAGAGGAACAAAATGCCTCCATCTTCACAACTTCAGCACTTCAGCTTTGAAGACGGATACAGTGTGTTCCTCTAACCTACCTATAACTCAATGTGGCATTACAACCCAAAAGACCAACACTGATATTTTCAGACAAATTCTCAAATGTTATCTTCACCATCATCATGCTTCTTACAGATTATGATATTATCTGCATGGACTTGTACACCAACTTCTGCATTGCACTATAAAAGCATTGATGTAATTCTTCATAACAATACTCCCACAAAACAACCAACCTCAGTCTCTTAGATTTACAACCCTATCACACCAAAATTAATGTATCTGTATGTATGTACCTGAAAGCTGTAGGAAAGTGAAGTGCCTGCCATGGTGGAAGCACCTGTTGTTTCAGAACTACGTCATTCAGCCAGTATGCTGATACACAACGCTTTCCTTCTCTGAGTGCCTGCATAACAAGAGTCATTTACTGTAATGGGAGCAATGGGGGAACTCTAAATAAGAAGTAATTATTTCCAGGAACACTACATTGTCTCCTATTAATCTTTCAACTACATATGAGATAATGTTATCCAACACCTAACACTGGAATGTCATATTTAACAATAACTTTAAAACACATCCACAACATGAATAACAGCTGTTGCCTTTCTTTGAGGACAGCGATATATCTCACAGAGCCTCTCCTGCATGAATGCCGCCTGCAACATTATCTTTCTCACAATCAACATTTCCTAAAACAAGAACCTGACAATAAAACTATTTAAATTAGACTGGAAACAAATCACTTCAAAACATATATTAGTGTTGCTAACCTTAAATGAAACTGAAATATGCCACACCACAGAAAGTTGAATACTTCTGCACAAAACAATGAAAATCAGAAAAATCTGCTAATGATAACAAAGTTTATTCATTTGTCCTGCATGCTATGTGATCACTGTAAATACATCTGATACTTTACCACATTCTACTGTGATGAAGGTAACAGGTTCTCATAATAATGAATAACACAAGCTGGTTCATAGGTCATAAGATACTCTGTCAGCTGTATGTTTCTTGAAGCCCACAGATAAGCTAATTGTAGTGGATTTTATGGCATTCACTCAAATATGTGGTGAAAAAATTGAACAATTAAAACTTTTAATATCACTATATCATAAAAACTGAACTCACTTGTATCTAGGCAGACTTATATTTCCAAGGTACTGATAACTGGATTCCTGAGGCATTGCTTTTTCCCTCAGAGGTAATAATTTTTATTTTGTAAG